GCAGCCAATTCATTTTTGTGCTGTAAAACGTTGCACTAATATGTCTTTAATATGTATAACATTTTGCAAGATCATCCAATCAGATTAGATGCCCGCTATGCTCCCGCGGGTGACCCGGGTAACCCATCCACCCACGGGTGGCCCGGGTGATACCCACCCAGGTCAAAACACTATCCTAAATGTTGGTGGTATTAAAGTGAGACCAAAACTCTTTTAAATCATATTAAAAGTTTTAAATAAGAAATTAACTATGGTAATGCTTTTTATTACATTCTAGAATATTACCATACAGGTGAAATCTTCTGGGATGATGAAATATCCAAGTCCAAAGAATTTCCAGTTTTAAGACAGGCAATAGAATTGGAAATAGAATATTTTAAGATCCCCATTAATTCTGAAAAACATGCTGCCCATAACTTACAACAATGTGTTACAGTAATCAACAAATTTTGTGAAAAATTGATACCTTTTATTATTGTGAAAAATGATACCTTTTATTAATAAAGCAATAAGCAGGTTTACCTCAGAAGTCAAAGTCGGATATACGCAAAATGGCTGTTATTCCTGTTGCGAACCATTTTATAACTATGAAAATGGAAAATGGTTTGAAGAATTTAAAAAACAAGGCTATGCATTGCTCAGCAATGAAAAGATTGTTAGTATAATAGAAAAACAGCTTAAGAAATATTTTTCTTCTATTAAAGTAAAAACCCAATTTAATAGTTATAGATATTTGGTAGTTTATGATTTCTTTGATATAGATACTATCGTGAACAGCTTCGAATAAAAACAATTATTGTTATTGATCATCTGTACATAAATTAATTTAGAATAAGGTCAGAATCATTTTTCATTTAAGACACAAAAGTAGTTGTGTTAATAAAATTATGCAATATAGCTCTTTAAAATTTGTAATTTTTTATGATTTATTATTTATATTATTTGAGTAACTAGATGAGGTTGAACTTGAAGATTAAGTAATATTCTATCTTTGTAGTTTCAGATTATAAAGTAAATATCTTAATAAAATATTAACATGACCTTTAAAAAAAAATTTTTTATATGCTTAAATAAAATTGTAAATATTAATTTTAATAATATATTTTCTAAATAAAATACATATTTAAAAATAGAAAATAACTAATATCTAGCACATATGATTATTACCAAAAATAAGTAAATTTTATTAAACCAAAATTTAAAATTTTTTAATATTATAGTAAGAATAAGAATTAGAGATTAGAGTAGAATATAGTAAATAGTAAAATTTATTTTGTTAGAGTTCAAAAAGTAGTTTACAAACAAAATTTTGAGACATAAATATAGATTTTATAATCTATTGCACATGCAATGTTTATCAACCAATAAAATTGCAAGATTCGTAAATGTTTAGTGAAAAAAATTGACGCACGTAAGTTTTACTTTTGTGAACAAAAAAAATTTAAGTACACATTAATTTTGAGTAAGCTAAGCACATAATTTAGATCTGAATTTTTTTCACAGATCAAAATCGTCGTTTTTGTAAAAAAAAAATAGCTTTTTCTTTAAATTTTGCTTATAAAACTCACGTCAGGTGTAATAAAAAAATTCTTTGCAAGAGTTTATTATAGAACCTACTTTAATTACTAACCTTAGCCCTAACCTTAGTTTAACATATATTGGTTAATCATTAAATTAAAAATTCCTTTATATTATAATAAATTATAAAAAAATACAAACTTTAAAGATTATACAGCAAAATATTATTAAATAGCATTTGTTTCTTAAGAAAAGTTGAGCTCAAAAAAAATGTTTTTGAAAATTGTCAATTTGTCCCTTTTCTCTGCACCTAACCCATATATTATAGTTACGGCACGATTGTTATTTCCGACTCGACTCGACATCACACAGGGTGATAATTTGCTAAAAATGTAAAACTACAACTACGTAATCAAATGTCGGGGAATGGGATTTGGGCGACAACCTATATTATCGACCTATGACTTAACCCAAAGTTACACCTACTAATTTAATGGTTTTACTCTAAAGCATTCAGAATACGCAAAATATAAGCATTAGTATGAACTTATGGTCATTACAAGGAAACAGAAACTGATAAAGGACCGAAGCAAAAAATAAGATTGGTTTGCAGCTCGTTATACATTATAGATATTTATTATAATGAGTGCTGATCTGCTCTAGAGTGGACAGGGAAATGTGATGTGCATATATGTGCATATGTGACATGTTTTTCGTGAATCATATGTGAACATATGTGCACATATGT